TGTATAACCAGGGCAACAGTCTGCATTTTGCCAAGATTCAAACCTGGAGATGAGATCACTTCTGTACATGGGTAAACACACTTCAGATGGATACCTGCATCCTTCAATCTTTCTGTGTTAATTATTCTAGAAATCACAAAATTATAGTTGGAAGAGTACTAAATAAAAATGTGGTTCAAAAATAATTAGCACTTTTAAAAGTAGCTTTCAACATATTACCACAAACTACTTCAGGACATTCAAAATTGCCAAAGTCCATGGATGAAATGTATGTTCCCTGATCATTCATAAACAAGGCTTATATTTTATACAGGAGGAAAATGAAGCCAAATAAAAGCCTAGCCCAATGTCTAAAAGCATCAAGGCAGAAAACTAGAATTCCAGAGTTTTACTGATCATTAGCTAACAGACTCCTCTTCCAGGTACAAATCTGGTAGATGTCCCAGAGGCATTAACAACCAGAACACCCTCTGACAAGGACCAAGAGGTACAAACTGGAGCATAGGACTAAGGCTAGGCATTCTTAGGGTAAAATGCTCCCACGCAAGGCTTTTATAAAGTCCAGACGGGAAAGTTCATTTGTTCTCCACGTTTGCCTATGGTCAGTTTTGGTTGTACCATTTCATTTTCCCAAGTGTGCCCTTAAGTCGGGGTGTAAGCTGCTTAGAGTCAAATGTTGTGTGTCCCAGGGATCACAGAGACCTTGTTTTCACCGTCCTGCTTCTACTCAAGTCTCAACAAACAGCTGTGGCTCCAGAAACAGCCACAGCATGAGCTCTCCCTGGCCATCTGGAAGACACTTCTCTATGAATCCCCTCTGGTACCCATCATTTCTTGAGAGCCCAGCAATCCTCCTCCTCTGGTTGCTCATTATCCTATCAACAACACAACAGCAAGTGTTCATTAAGAAAAATAGGGTCCAGACTGCTTTTGAGGCCTTTTATCCTGAGGATGACTGTGTGGCAGGTGCTGCTACATTCCCTTCTGTCCACACACATCTAAGCACGAAATATCACACAGCAAGTGGGTTGTGGACTACACTGTCCAATTGCAGATACACAGAGATATTGTTCTTAATGTTCTTTTGCCTCCACGTTGACATATAAAGGTGACTTGTTTGATTTTATCTATCATTTCTGGCTGTTTGTAACTAAAAGGTCATCTGCAATCTAGTGGTTTCCTGTCCCAAGTTGATATATAATCTGGGAGGGGTCTCAGTGCTCTAAAGCAATGGCTACACTGCAGGGTGTCAGCAGCATTTTAACTCTGAGGAAGTTCTAGGGTTTGGCATGAAAGTAAAGAAAATCCCAACTCGGTCAGAATACAAAACTGAAATGGAATGCCATTAAATACAAACCTTGTTCACATTTCTATAGATATTTAAAACAGGGTATTTTTCAATACACATAAACATATAGAGACTATTTCCTATCAAAGTTTTCTATGATATAGCAAAGTAACTGAGTTTTCCTTAATGGTTGATTTCAAGGCTTAATGATCAACCGAGCCAGGGCTACCCTGCTTTGGGAGCACAAGGAGAATGAAGAGGTTACAGTGAGGAGTTCCCTGTCAAGGACGTGGAGGGGAGGCAAAGCAGAGGAGGGAGAAAAGGGGAGAGAGACACGTCAACAACAAGGCAGAATGGAAGTGATGAGCGGTATGAGAGGGCCAACAACACACAGAGTACTATATGGGCAGTAGAAATAGATGATGAGAGGTGAGAAGGGTTTAAAATGGTTCCAAGAGGGAAAAGGTTATCCTAGGTAAAGCAGTAAGTTGGGCAAATACAAGGGGCAAAAAATGATAGGCAATATGCAGAATGGAAGCAAAAAAAGGTGTCAGAATGGACAGAAAGGAGGATTCATGTAGGACAGTGGAGGAAAATAAAGCTGGAGAGAGAAGTTGGTACTGTATTATGAATGGCCTCCAAGCTGCACTAAAGAAGTGCGACCTTAACCTACATGAGGGCCTTGGAGCAGGCATCCTCATCAAAAAAAAAAAAAAAAAAATTACCAATGAATGGCCTCCAAGCTGCACTAAAGAAGTGCGACCTTAACCTACATGAGGGCCTTGGAGCAGGCATCCTCATCAAAAAAAAAAAAAAAAAATTACCACAGATTTCTGAGCTGGTCCCCACCCACCACCCCTGTGGTTTTTCCCTTCACTTTCAGTGCCTTCTGAGTCCAGAGAAAGTGTTGATCTCAGAGCCAGGCCATACGCTCTTTCCCGGTGGTCACCTACCTGGAGTAAGGAAATGCCAACGACATCAGCACAAAATGACAGACGAACAGGCACAACACCACCTAACACCACCTAACACCACCTAACGCCACCTAACGCCAAGGACGAGAAGCATGCCACTGTCGGGCAGCTTCACTTTCAAGTCTGTTTGAACTCAACACTTTGATACTTAGTTTAACAGACAATAAAATAAAATACAATTTAAATGTATGCTTCAGGACTACCCTGCCCAGCTACATAAACTTATGAAAAATACGACTGGAAAACATTTCAGTTAAAAACAAAAACAGAACCTGGCATGGTGCATGCCTCAAGTCCCAGCACTTGGGAGGGTAACCAGGAGTTTGAGGCCAGCCAGGGTTCCATAACAACTTCAAGGATAGCCTGAACCACATAACAAGACTGTCTCAAAAAAATAAATAAATAAATAAAGCAGAGACAACTAGTATTTTTAAATTTTTAAATTTATCCTCTCTTCCATTGAAACTCCAACCCTGCGTTTTGCTGCTCAACGTAAAAAAATCACTTGATAATCAAAAAATTCTTGATAATATTCTAACTATGGGATTGGTCATTAATTAAATTTATCTCTACAGTTTCAGGCCATTTGGATATCAAAGAGCTACTCCGTGTCCTAACAACGCAGAGGTCCCAGAGACGTTCTGCCAGGTAACTCTCCCTTCTGAAGCCTTTCTGTTGGTTGGTTAAGAAAGATTCCAGCTCATTCACCAACAGGGAGGGGACACTGACTGTAGTGTAAAGGTATGAATCCTCAGAGGCAGAGACTGTAGCGTCCCCATATATGGAGGCTGCACAAGGCCCTGAGTAAGGGTAGAAAAACACCTAAAAGCACCTGGATTGGAAGTTGTGCACTTCGAGCACCTCCACTACTTATCTCCTTCTAACAACGACAGAGTTCCTTCAGTTCCTATTGCACAGGCAACCTGAACACAGAGGCAAAAGAATGAGGTAACATTCAACTGCCCACGATGTAAATAATTTGTTCCAAGCTACAGAATATTCTCCACTGTCGGCTTTAGAAGCTTGTAAAAATCTACAGCCATCAGAAAAAAAAATGCCCTCATTTTTCTATTCAATTCTCAAAAATACTCAAAGGTTGCCAGGGATCCTTAACGTATTACAAGAGAAAGTGAGATGAGATGACTGCAGAAGCTATGATCATCAATGTCTCAGCAAAATATTTAACCTCAAATCTTTGAGACAACTTTATTTCCCCAACCCATTTATAAATTTTGCAAGCTTTACAGACTGAAACCAGAACTGCTCTCTACGGAGAAGCTCTGGGCCAGTTTACTACGGCCCACATCAAAACAAGCTTCCTAGGAAAACAAACACACAGGAGAAAGCAGCTTGCCTATGTCAGTGTGGCCTGCAGCCTGCGAAAAAGCCATGCTGAAGGCAGGCTATGCAGAAGGATAATCAAACCCATGTGTTTTGTACTTAAGTATCAGTTTATACATGTTTGTCTTTTAATTAAAGTGATACTAAGAGGAAAACTGTTCTAAGGGAAATAACATAGGATAAAAACAGAACTCAAGCCAGGCATCATGACACATGTACGTAATCCCAGCTACTTGGGAGGGTAAGGAAGGAGGAGCCTGAGTCTAAAACCAACTTAAGAAACTTAGTGAGACCTTTTCTCAAAAATGAAAAAATTAAAGGATAGCAATATTATTCAGTGGTCAAATGCCTGTGGGTTAAATCCCCAATATTAGGGAAAAAATAAAAACAGAGAGTGAAGGAGGGAAGGCAGGCAGCAGCCAATATGGTAACATAGGGAAATAAAGACTAATATGTTTTATCACTTCTGCTGGAGCCAGAATTTCACCCTGGATGGGTTTTATAAAAAGTATCACCACCCTTATCTGAGCTCTACATTCCTGATCGTTTCTTCTAAGTAAACAGGTAGTACAAAATAAGGAAGGGAATAAAAGGATAAAATCTAGAATGATATCAATATACTCTAGCAAATTTATTTAAATTAAACAAAAAGCTTGAACCCTATTATGTTACATCTACACAAGTGATCATCCAAATTTCCACTGGTGAAGGAGACTACCTAAAGAAGAGCTCGTAAACAAAATCTCTTGAATACATCATTTAGAAATGGAAAAAAATAAGGCCCACAGAATACTGAGCAACATTTGCAAGAAAAAAAAATGGCTGGTCAAAACAATATTCTGACAAAAGAAAGGTGAAAAGAGCAACCAGGTTAAACAAAAAAATAAATGTTACATTTAGGAGTGGTAACTTGTTATAAATGAAACTTCTTTACATCAAGCTACATCAGGGCAATCCAGTTAAAAAGAAAGGACGCTTGACCACACACAAGTATAAGTAGCAGGACAGGGAAGCAATGCACAGAGTTTTTTATCCAGTAAGGTTTGTATGAATTTAAAGGATTCAAGCTTAAATTTAAAAAAAAAAAAAAAAAAGAAGAAGAAGTCTACAGCATACTAACTCCAAGGTGTCTTTCCTACCCCTTGGAAAAGCTTCAAGGAATGTCAGGAAGGACCAATTTTCTGATACCCAACAGTCTTTTAATAATAATATTTTTAGATTGCACAAAAGAAATTCATATCCTTAAAACCCAGATTCCTTTCCCTATAAATTACCATTTATGAGCAACTAATGGTATGTATTTGGCATAGAGTCAGTTTTTCTATTAAGCATTTTCACAACAGTTTGCTACAAGAAACATCTCTGGGAAACGAAGTCTTGAAACATCATAAACTCACCTTCATCACTTGCTGCCTGCTGCTTCACAAGAGTCATAGGGGACCTGGCTGGGGGCTTACTAAGCGGATGGCGCCAGCTCTTAGAGGTTTTGGTCTCTCCCTCTATTACCTGGTTAGGAAACAAAAGATGAACTCACAGAAATAAAAACATGTTTAAGGCCTGGGGATTCAGCTCAGTGGTGCCATGCCTGCCTCGAAAGCACAAGATCCTGAGTTTGATCCCTGGTACCAAAAAAAATATTTAAAAAAAACACTGTGATTTATGTTAACTTAATCATGAAGATATTTTTTGCTTATGAACATCTTAAGCAATTAGCTTTCTTAGAAACTTAAAAAAAAAACAAGAAAGCATTGTGTTAGTAATTTTACAAATAAGTCAGTTAGGTCTCTTCCATTTTAAAGTACTGACTGCAGTACAGGGTGCACTTATCAAATGTGCAATAAGCTAACTAGTTAGCAAGTCTCCAGAAGTCCTCTGAAACTAGTCTCAGTTTAGAACTGGATATATATATAAAACTATTTAAGGCTATGGCAGTCAGTCATCTGTATGCTATTCCCATGTGATTATTTGGTAAATGATTTTGCTTTCTATCCTCACAGAAAAGGAAATCCTGCCAAACTGAGAGTATTTATTTCCTTCCATTCAAAAATGAACCAGTATACTTTCATATATACAAAAGATCAAAGAAGAAATAAAAGATGTTCATTTTTTTAATGGTATATGGCTTTCATCTTAAAATTATGTTACAAATAGTGCTATTTTCAAATTTCTCTTACATACCTTTTCAAATAAACTAGGCCATTTTTTTCATTTTTAATGTGATTCATGACAACTATGTACTGTAGAGCTCAGTGGAACACAGAATTCTATGTAAAATGAAAAATTCTATTGAATCAAATCAGGACATTATATTTTATTTCAGATTTGAAGACCACTAGGAATCAGAGTATTCAAAGTTACTGTCGTTTTATAACCTGCTTTGCTATCAAAAGATACAACAGATCTATGCCAACTTTAAATGACCAGGAACAATGAATGAGGAGGCAGACCTACTCAGCAGTCAGCTAGATTGCTAGCTGTATCAATGAAGGCTCTCCTTACCTACTTTATTATCCTGACTGGGCTCCTGAGGTTTTAAATGCCAACACACAGTCCATCCTAGCTCACCTAATTGAATCCAATCAGGGAACAGGGACCATTTATGCTAAATGCAGGCAATAGGAAGAGACACTATTCAAATGGCCAGCAAAAAACAGCTGGGAAATCTAGAGTGTTCCTGACTTTTCTGAAGCAAAAGGCCTGCTTCTGGGAGTGCGCAGAGCCAGAATGGTCATTCTGGTAGTAGGATGTAGAGTCCAACAGTAAACAGCAAGAGGAAAAAGGGACTGGAACAGCCTTAAAACAGAGTATGTGGAAAACAGAAACCCAGAGTGCTGAGAAGGAGGGCAGTGTCCAGGAGGAGAATTCTTCCCAGCCTGGTTAGTATTGTGGGTGACAGAACCGTCTGTATTAGAGCATAGCGATATGATTATGATTTCATATTGTAGTTTTCCCAAACAACAGTACTAGGAAAACTGGGTAAAGGGTACACTGGATCCCTATGTATTATTTCTTATAAAACCATATTAATCTGTAGTTATCTCCTATTAAAGATGCTAATTTTTAAAAAACATAAAGTGAGAAAAAACTGAACTTGAACATGTGGCCAAAATCTCTATGCTCTGAATTAAAATATGATGAGCCAGAGCTAGACAATGGTTACCTCTCAGTCATTGAAGGAAATGTGACCAAAACCCATAAATGTAAAATGTTACTTACTCCTGCCCTAAAGCAAGATTTCCATGCTTAGCTTGCTGCTTTCAGAAAGAGTTCTCCCCATAAAATAAGTACTATGACATGTTCTACTAAAACAGATATAGCCACGTACACTGGGGACTTTGAAGCCATTTCTCTCTTCACTGAGGACTGCTGAGATTTCCCCAGGTTCGAGGCCACTCCGATGGCTCTCCACATCACTTTCTTCTTCCTCTGTAACCAGGCCATGACTCTCTGCCACTGAGGAGCACGACTCCGGTGACTTTGGCCATGGAAGCTTAGGTGGGTCTGGTTCCTGGACCTTCAAGCAACCAGTGGATAGCACTATGGAGTCATCAACCTTGTGGGGTGTGGATGGTGTAGTTATGCCATAGGCTTTATCACCTTCAGCTTTTATTTCCTCCATAACAGATGTACTTGTACAGCTGTTTCCTGAGGAGTGAAATAAAAGACTATTAATAAATTTTGCATTAGATTCCCACCTAGTTGAATTGTTAAACTATTTCCAGGTGATTTCATTCCTTTTAACTTTCTCAACTTCCACAGACCTAAGTATGAAAGGTCATCAAAGCAGAATGCCACTTTAATAGTTATGAAGGTGAAACCTTGGACATTGGAAGAAATTACCTGCCAGGAAAAGAGGAAATTAAAAGGTTCTGCCAAGTGTGGTGGTACAGGCCCATAATCCCAACACTCAGGAGGTGGAGCCAGCACAAGTTCAAGGCCAGCCTGGGACACACAGTGAGTTCAAAGCCAGCCGGAGCTATGTAGCAAAGACTGTGTCTCAATGAATGAAGTTCTACTGCAGACCAATACCAAAAGGCAGGGAAATTATAATAACTTTCAGAGCAATCACAATTTGAAGTCTATCTAAAAATAAGAACTATATCTTAATATACAATGCTAAGAGCTGCTGCTGATAAATATATATATAGCTGATGGAGACTATATGTAATTGGCACACATAAGATCATACAGAGCCAATAAAAAATTATTTCCTATGTTAATCTGCATTAATACTATGCCATTGACTGAGAACACATACCAAGAAATTACACAGTACTTCTCTTAAAAAATAACGAAACACTTCTCTCACACTGACATATGTATTCAACAGTCTTCTTCAGACACAAACACATTCACACTGAAGCACGCATAAGCATTATTCCTACTCTAAATCTGATGCTGAGGTCAGTCAAGAATTCTACTTACATTTTCTTCTAGGTCTCAAAATGTAGAGGCTCAAAGTGCAAAAAACCAAAGGTAATAAAATTAGGCACCGTCATCTGAAGTCCTGAAGCAATTTATAAAGTGGTGAATTAAACCCAGTGTGTAGAAAGTATGATGAGGATGATAAAGAAATACCCACATTCACTGCATAACTGACTTCTTTGCATTTACTGCAATTTCACTGCATAACTGACTTCTTTGTATTTACTGCAACTCTCTTTCCTACCTTCTTCCAGACCTTGCAATATTCTCTTCACTCTTCACAATGCAATTCAGAGATGAACGACACCATGAAACTGACCTGTGTATATGGATCCTTCCCTGGTAGACCCATCCCCTTCTCCATCAAGCTATTTTTCACACTGGATTGTAATTATGTGTATTTGTCCAGTTCTTCCCTTAGGTCATTGAAAAATGTCCCTGTAAACTCTATTTACAGGTATTTCCAGTGCAAAGGTAAGGACAAGGCTTGAGAAGGAGCCAAGAAGCAGTTTAGTTAGGACTGTGTAAGGATGTTGTCTTTCACTCTAAATACATAGTCGTAAGAAGGGAGCACAAGCAAGGCCTCAGCTCTCTTTTTAAAGGATCACTATGACTGCTGTATGGAGAGCTGGCAGCAGGAATGACCAGTGCGGATACTGGCAAAGCAGGAAGGAAGCACTTTCTGCAACAGTTCAGGCAGGAGATGGGGCACCTCAAGTGCAGGGGGCACAGGAGGGTGGGAGTAGTGCCACTGATGAAAGATTTACAGAACGAGGACTGTAAGAATACGACAGGAATTACCAAGTAGCTCAATCTTTAAAGGACCAAAATTCCAACAGACATTAAGGAGGCAAAGCAATAATGCAGTTTCACAGAAATAGGCTATAAAAGAGGAGAACAGGAAAGTAGCTGAGACATGCAGATGAGCACTGTAGTATAAAGGAACAGCCCAGGGAATATGCATACTATTTCACTAGTCTGATTTTATTTTTGTTGTTCTTTTCAAAAACCTTAATCTTTATTCTTAAAATTAAGTTGAAACCTGAGAATCTGCAAAGAATTACCTATAATTGGTTTTCTCTGCTTCATGTGAATTCAAGAGAAGCTTTCTAAAAATGTATTGTATATTGTAAATTGAGTTGCACTAGAAAAAACTTCATTTTAGAATCTTTTTTATTAAACCAAAGAGTCACTGCTGGCTATTTGTCTCACAATTCCATTACACACAGCAGCAGCATCCCTGCCTTTTAACACCTTCCCTAGGCCTCCTGCAGTTGAGTTGCCCTGAACTTTAGGTACTTAATTAGATAAGCTGGCTGAGTTAGTAAGATAGCTAACTTAGTGAACGCAGATTTAAGGCATCAGATCATCAACCACCTACATACCCGTTACAGGTGAAACACAATCAGAGATGCTCTCACCTGAGAGTGTGGTATCATCCACTAAGTTTGGATGCATCTGTGATGTGCTAGCAGCGGGCTCTCTGGAAGGCGCTTCTGTGGTCCCCAGCTGTGCTGCTTTTTCTGGCTGTCTGCTGACCCTGAGGTCCTTTGTGCCAGGGTCAGAGTTAGGGACCTCCACCCCATCAACTTCAGCTGACACATCTTCATCCTCCTCCGCCTTAGGCCTTTTAGGGTGAGCCCTAGATCCTTGGAAGCTATTAACAACAGAAGTGCTGGTCAGAGCGGAAAGGTTCCAATTGATACCCTCCCCACCCCAAAAAAAGTACAAATGGTATTGTTCATTTGCTCACTACTGAAAGGATTTTAATCACTATGCAAAGTCAGCCTTCACTATTAAATGAAATTGAAATCTTAAAAGTTTTAAGACCAATTTACTATAAATTAAAATTCAAACAGTTGGAAATAACTGATTACACATTAATGTGACAACAAAGTCCATGTTAAAAATCTATAGGAAAATCCTCGGGCAAACAGAGATCACTAAGGTGTACTGTATATTTCCAAAAGTTAGAATAAAGGATTCTGGATGTTTACCATGAAGAAATGGTTATGTGTGAGTGAAGACAGGTATGATTACCCTGATCTGAACATTCTGTCAAAGTATCACACGGTACCCACTAGTATGTTTAATTAGATCTTTTTTGCGTATCAGCTAAAAATAAATTTAAAATAATCATTTTTCAATGAAAGTATGAAAACAAACACCAAAAAAGGGACAATATGGGAAAGCAACTAAATCAATACATAAAATAGTATTTAGTTTCAAAAGGGAAATCAGAAGATCTCTGAAGATGTTATTAAAAATCTGAATAAATTATTTACATTTCAAGGTGAACTAGTAAATAATTATTAGGCATGCATGAAAACAGCTCATATTAAATTCTAAGTCAATAGCTAAAGGAATTAAGACAGGAAAAAGAAGTGTACGTATTTAATTCATAGTCCAACTCATTATTTTGAGTGGACACTAATTTTTCTCTCCTTCACCATTATTTGCCAGCAAGATTCCTAATAGTTCTTTCACACATTTTTTTGTATATGACACATTTCTAATGATTAGGAACAATTACAAATCAACTCAAAGCAAGAGTGTCAATAACACACACACACACACACACACACACACACACTGAGTACACACAAGAAAACACTACAGGCTACAATATAGGAAGCAAAGGGGAGCAGCCAGAAACACCCCATGAAATAGCCGTGGCTGCTAGTGAGGGCAGTAACAGTAGTGGTATCATTATTACCACCATCGCATTTGCTGAGAACGAACAGCAGACAATCTGGAAAATCTCCAGATTATGAGCAGTGTAGTACACGTAATTTAAGGGAACTGACATCTCCCCAAGATTGTGGGGAATCACTTCATTTGTTGGTCTTACCTAAATAAGATATTATTAAAGAGAGATCAGAAATCTTTTTGAGCCACAGCTGAGCATGGACAGTAGGCTCTCTGTCAAGGTGAGCAAAGTCCATTGATTATTTTAACCTACTGACAAGACATTTTCAATCTGCTCAGTATCACAGATTTATGCTCTCTATCAACTGAAAGTGCTCATTGTGATTAATGGGTAGGAAATAGTATACACATCTCATTGCAGCACTGTATTTTCTATACATTAAAGAACAATTCTCCAGACGTTCTCATAGTGTGGCTCCTGAACTGAAAAGTGAATGATGCCTCCTTACAAAGCTGGCTTTCTTGGTAATGTGGATTAACACATTTTTCAAAGGCACTGCCTCCCTAAATTAGTTTGTCTTGAACTCTGTTTGTACATACATAAAGGAAGTCATACAACTTAGATAAAGACACGACGTACACATACACACATGTACACAGATACCACAAGTTAATACTTACCATTACCATATGGGAAGCACTAGGATACTTTTTATTCTATATTAATTCCTAATTTTAAAATGTAGTCCTGACCTAGTAAGTTAATTTGAAAACTAATACTTTGAAAGTCACTGCTGCACACTGTAGGGTGAAACAGCAGGGATCCACTACTGCCTAGTTCTGTGCCTCAGGCATATCTCTTATAAAGTGAGGAAGTTTGACTCCATGTTCTTAAGATTCCTCTGCTCACTACCATTCTAAAATAGCAGAAAATAAACATCAGGAAAAAAAGAAAGTCAGAAAATAAGCGTTAGAAGTATGGGCAAAAATATAAAATCACAGTGTTATTTAGTAAATAGCAAAAAAGTAGAAACAAGCTACAGGTCCAAATACAGGAGACTATTTAAGTACATGTAGGCATTAAAAATTATGTTGTAGAAAATCATTTAATTACATGAAAATCACTCACATGACTGGTCATCAAATTGTTAATAGAGTATGGCCCCAATTTTGAAAAGTTACATCATATTATATAATATGTAATAAATATATAGGTAAAGGATATACATAAAATGTTAAGACTGGTTATCTCTGGATAGTGAGGTTATGGGTGATTTGGGATTCCTTCATTATTCTTTTCCTTATTTTACAAATTTCCTCCAATGCTCAAATATTACTTTTACAATCTGAAAGAAAAACAATGAGGAATATTGAAGAGGAAAATTTAATATAAAAGTGAAAAATATAAGAGCAAAATGGTAGCCTAAGGACCTGAGCAATACAACACACACCCTATGCAGTGGGTTTTAACACAGCAAGATAGAGGCCCACAGAAGAGCTAAGCTTTTGAAATGGCCCTCATCACAAAAATGGAATGGAGACTAAAGCTCACAAAGACAATCATGTTATAGAAGCATGTGTTGCTTATATCCAAAAAAGAATAAAACCAATGGTATAAAATGAAGGCAAATATAAGCATCCAGATGAGAAAAGTAATATCTCAGATGTTTGACAAATGAATAAGCTAATGACTAAAGTCAGAAAGAAAAATGGTAGCAAAATTAAGAAGTTACTGAAGTTGATTAAAATATGGAGCTGAATGGGAAGGACCAATACAACTTTTAATTGCATTAGTGTAAGGAGTCTAAAAGGTTCCATCTTGTTCTATTTGCTATGTATACTGACATCAGGAATATTTACAAATGGAATAAACACCTTTTCCTGCTTGCTAGTACACATCCTAAGAATTAAAAACATTTTGCCTCAATTTTTTCAGTGAGATACTAATCAAAGTTGTGATAAATAAAAATGGAAAAAATGGCCCTTGATAACATCATATTTAATAATCCATTTAATTGAGCAAATGCTGCAAGTAAGATGGGAGTGGGGGTCATTACCTTTTAGATGCTTTTCTTACTTTCCTTCTCCTTTGCAGCCATGCTTTTACTTCAGGGGTGGATTCTGGAGTAGGCTTCGTGTGATCAATGGTGTATATATCCTTTCCTTGTTTCCAAAGCTGATAGCGGTCAGGCTGAAATTTCCTCACAAAGATATCCATTGAAATTTTCACCATGTCTTTTCTGCAAGTGCACTAAAACACAATGGACCAAATTTAACAAACTCTGCAATGAAACATTTCACTGGTTATATAAAGTCACATGGAGTCAGCCCTTGACTATAGCATATGTGAACATTAGGCACTACAAAACAAAGCACAATGTTTTACATTTTCAAACATTCACTGTGTGACAAACAAAGTTTCTCCAAAAGAGTTAAAAAATTATATATCTTTATTTACAAATGGGGAAAATGTGAAAATAATACTTTGTACACTTCACAGGGATTGTGTACCAAGAAAAACTGAAAGGAAAGAGAGTGCATGTGACCACTGCCTGCAAAAGAGGAACACCCACCCCTAAGGAGGACACATCAGTGAGCTAAGGTCTGTGAAGCCAAAGACCTGGTGTTATCACTAAGGTGTGCACTGAGTGTCCCCCAAGTGTCCACTGTTGAAAGGCTTGGCCCCAGCGCGGCCCTGTTGGTAAGTGGTGAAACCTGCATGTGTAAGGCCTAGTAGGGCATGGCCTTAAACTATCGAGGGCATGAAGTTATTTCCTGTGGGACATTTCACAGTTCTCAAAGATCATTGTAAAAGCAAACACAGCCCCACCCATCTTCCTTCTCTCTGCTCCTCTGAGAGATACTTATTCCAGCACGCTCTCTTGCCATGTTCTGATGCCATCCACCACCCTCATAGAAGCCAAGCAAGCATGGGCTGTGCATTTTTAGTCTTTGATCCTCCCAAACTATAAGCTGAATAAACCTTTTCTTGTTCTAAACAGGCTGTCCAGGTATTTCACCATAGTACTTTTGCAGCTGACTAATAGACCTGGCTTGTTTAGTGAATTAAAAAAAAAAATGAAAGTGTGATTAGTATAATTTAACAAATAAGTTGAGATGTTTCCTCTAAGCTGTATTTTATTTAAATTTGTATTTATTAACAAACTCTAATAAGGTAATCAAAAACAAGGAACAAATAATCTTTTCTATATTATATTAAATACAACGCCAAATACCAACCACAACAATAAAAATACCCAGTAAAGAAAAGTAGAGAGTTGTAGTAAGAAGTTCAAAGAAAAGATTATTTTGAACCCAAAGTAACCCTGGTTCTCACAAATACATAGTTAGCAGATGCAGCTAATAAACTGTCTCCTATAAAGACATCATATAGACTTAATTTGGTCTAAGCCAACACTGTGCATCAGTACAGATATCCAAACGGTAGTACATAAAGAGTCTCAGAGATTTAGCTGCTGTAACTTGACAACAGTCCTTTGCACATCTGGTTAAACTAGCCTGGACACAACAAGCTTCTCAATCACTTAGATATAATTATCATCGCCACACAAATTAATTCCAAACTCTAAACAAACTCCACTCTCACACTCCCTTTCCCCTTCATAGAGTTTTAATAACAATGGACAGACTTTGTTAAGCACAGTAGGCATATGAAACAGAACCAACCAACCACCTCAGTGGAAACCAAAAGCCACTCAAGGAAGAGTGTGGAGCATCCTTGTGGTGGTTTGCACATTCATAACCCGCACAAAAGACTGGGATTTAGAGAATGGTACACAAGCAACATACCTAAAATTACATCTTCAGCTGCAAAGAGACATTCCATTACAATTGATGGTGTCGTAATTATTCCACTTCCCTCCAAGAACAGTTAGTATTGCCTAATTCCTGCACCCCCCAAAATTCAACATGTCACTAAGTATGGCTGATTCTTCCTTGGAAATGTGTCCTGCATCAGTTCCTTCCATCCCTCAAGCTAACCCTAGAAAAACAAACACTTCCTGTAGCCTCTCAATGCATCTTTATAGTCATTAATTTCCCTTAAACATGCAGTACTTGTCCATTTTTATGTATATTCACTCAGCTCTGCCTTTAGGAGTAAAAACTAAACTCATATGCCTAGTGATCAAAGACTCCAGATTTAACTTCACTAGTGAAACTTTCAGGTTCCTCCCCAACTCCAAGTCAAGGTGAATACTCCTCTTCAGTGAAAGTCACTAGAGAAAAGGTCACCAAAAAAGCACCATGGCTGCCTACTCACCAGCCTGCTACCCCCCCACACACCAGAAAACAACTCATCTTTTAACAATGAAGGCAGCTAGATATCAGGTTCCTCAGAAGCTGACGGTATTCACCAACATCATTGATTTATATTATTAGTTAAGTGTAGTGACAAGTCTAGGTTATTTTGCAGTAATTATCTTGCTTTAGGAATGTGGAAAATTAGGTTCCGCAAAAAGTTAAAGGTATTCTCCCTTAACATGTAATTGTTCAAATAAAGAAAACGATAAAGCTTGGAATCATCAGCAGAAATTTTATATCCTTACAGTGCTACAAATTGCACTTCATAAGAAAAAGAAAGTAGTGGAAAACAGTGATGCTTCCTCCATAACTGAGCTAGCTGAAGCCAGAGCGTGATTGTGACTGTAGCATCCCAAGGCTGATGGCCTGGTATTTCTGAAAAAAAATGTTTTAGCGGGGAAGAAGAACCCTTTCATCTGATGCTCATCTCATTCACTCAAGATGGTTCGATGAAACCTAACCTTGTGTACAACGGGCGTAGACATTTTGAATAAGCTTCAGGACTCAGTGTGAGCCGGGGCTAGGCAAAGCAAGGTTAGAGAGCAACATGCTCAGAGACTGGCCAAACTGTTTCTAATTATATTAGGCTCATGAAACACAGATCCACCAACCAACCACCTCCGCAGAAGCCAGAGACAGAGAGAGGCCCCCAGGAAAGGTGTGTGCAGGACCTTCCAGCCTGCACACTCGGAGGCTCATAAGAGGCTCAGCCTCCAAGGACAGAGCCATGGACACAGAGGACTTAGCCATTAAGCTATCTGAGCAGTTCTAACAAAGCCTCATAGGCTTTGTTACACAGATCCACCAACCAACCACCTCCGCAGAAGCCAGAGACAGAGAGAGGCCCCCAGGAAAGGTGTGTGCAGGACCTTCCAGCCTGCACACTCGGAGGCTCATGCATCACACACAAGGCTAAGAGGATTTGGAGAACTGGACACCAACCAACAGAAATGCCACAGGCTTAAAATGAGAGGCTCAGAGCCTCCAAGGACAGAGCCATGGACACAGAGGACTTAGCCATTAAGCTATCTGAGCAGTTCTAACAAAGCCTCATAGGCTTTGTTACACAGATCCACCAACCAACCACCTCCGCAGAAGCCAGAGACAGAGAGAGGCCCCCAGGAAAGGTGTGTGCAGGACCTTCCAGCCTGCACACTCGGAGGCTCATGCATCACACACAAGGCTAAGAGGATTTGGAGAACTGGACACCAACCAACAGAAACGCCACAGGCTTAAAATGAGAGGCTCAGAGCCTCCAAGGACAGAGCCATGGACACAGAGGACTTAGCCATTAAGCTATCTGAGCAGTTCTAACAAAGCCTCATAGGCTTTGTTACACAGATCCACCAACCAACCACCTCCGCAGAAGCCAGAGACAGAGAGAGGCCCCCAGGAAAGGTGTGTGCAGGACCTTCCAGCCTGCACACTCGGAGGCTCATGCATCACACACAAGGCTAAGAGGATTTGGAGAACTGGACACCAACCAACAGAAATGCCACAGGCTTAAAATGAGAGGCTCAGAGCCTCCAAGGACAGAGCCATGGACACAGAGGACTTAGCCATTAAGCTATCTGAGCAGTTCTAACAAAGCCTCATAGGCCGGGTATAAAACAACACCGTCGCATGCCATGAGATTTATTAAGGATTAAATCAACCAGAAAACATTCATATCAAACTCATATAAAATAACATAAATCCATCAACCATTACAATGTACTTGACAATATAAAAGATAGGATACAAAGGTAAGATTATTCTTTCAAGCTCTCTTGGGCATTACTATGAGGTGGGGAGTTGACGAAAAGGCGACACAGCCCTTTGTTAAAGAACAGTGAGAGCACATGCCAGAGCACAGTATAGTGCTTAGCAGACAGGACTCAGAACCCACTTCAACACCAACCAACAAGTTACAGTGAAAATTTATTTAAGCTCTCTGTGCTTCAGTTCTCCCTAACACAGAGCAAAACTGCTAACTTAGAGGATTACTAGGAAAAGTTAAATGAAAACAATTTTAGGAGGGCTGGGGATTTCGCTCAGTAGTTCTGCCACCTTCCTGACAAACGCAAAGTCCCGAGTTCGATCCCAGTACCAAAAAAAAAAAAAAAAGTTTAGGAAATAGGTGCATTAAGCAGGCAAAACCAGTGTATATGAACAGGACATTATTGTACTATTTTAGAAGTATCTAACTTGGGAAGACAGATACCAGAAAAATTACTGAGTTTGGTCCTGAAATGGTAACCATGTAAGTAATAGTGAATAAAATGTAAACATAACATTATTTCACTTCTAGACTTATTCAATCTTTTCTCATTCACACATGTACCTGCTTACATTTTGGAAGAAAATTATGATAATAATCTTAATTTATTAGAATTATTTAATGTAAGGAACTGAGTTTTAAAACTATAAATCTAATTTTGGAGCAAAATAATTTGAATACTATTGTGGTATCCTGGTATGCATTCACATAATATCACCTAAGAACAAATATCAGATAAGAAAAGTAAACTATAGTCATACTGACTGACCAAGCAGAAAAAGAAATACAATTCTCAGGTCAGTATCAATAATAGAAACTGGATGCCGTAGCACACACCTACAATCCCAGCACTGAGGAGGCAGAGGCAGGAAGATTGCCACAGGTGCCAGGCCAGCCTGGGTGACATAGCAAGACTGTCTCAAAACAAAACAACATCAAAAAAATAGAGTAAATAAATATATGTCACAATGAAGTCAGTGCAGAAAGAGAACAAAGACCATTTTCTTAGGCTTGTACACCCATTAATGAAGCAGGGTCTGTCCGCAGCAGGCCTAGCCTTCCCCTAGACAGTCTGCAGTGCTCACAAAAATCTTACTTGTCAAAGTTCATAGTAATACACTGGAGGAAGGGGTGCACTTAGACTAGATATCCAGAGAAAAATTCTGATAGTCCAGGCTTCATTTTCACACACTTGAATTATAATGTGTTCTGAATTTTTCCTAAAAAACATAAAGATATTTCATATAGTCATGGTTAGAAAGTATAATACCAGAAATTAATTTTTTAATCCTAATTGTAATGAATCACTACAGTGAATTTGTTTTTCAGATACTCTGCAATATTTGACCTTAACCTATTGCTGTTTTGTTTTGGTACCAGGTATTGAACTCAGGACCTTACACTTGCAAGGCAGGCAACAGCACCACTGAGCTAAATCCCTGGACCCTCTACTACTCTGTTTTTAACCACGAAAGTACATAAGGTATTCTTCATATTAAGTGCATTAGAAGTGCTTGGAAAATAAGAGTCTTAAAAATATTTATTATATATATAAATGACCCTTTATAAAAATAGAGGCCAGAAAATTTTAATTACAAATTCATATACCTAGTAAATATGCCAGATTCAAATCTAGAATACACATACTCTTTCCCAAACTACTATGGAAATTCCAAGCCATGTTCAATATATTCAAATTGTTTTTTAATTTAAATATGGACCATATTTTTCCATATTAAACTTTTTATCTAGGGCCCACACCCAGATTGAAATTTGAGCAGGGAACAAATGTCTGGGGATAGACATTTTTGCTTTCTATGTGCACAATCATGCGTAGTGATAGAGTTTATGCAGTATAGCTAACAATTTTCCAAAATAAGTTTCCTCCTTCTTGCTCCTTCTAATAGGTTCAGATTAATTTCTTCTGAATATTTTCAGCCTTCACAGTGGCAGAATATGTCTGCCTTATAAAGTAAGGCAATTATAAAGCAATTTAAAGTATGAGACTAGAAACTCAATCTTTCTGACCCATGAGAACACTGTTCAAATAGACAAAGAAAAACTGTGCAAAAAGAAGGGAAATGGATTCAAACAGTTTACTCTAGGGATCTCCAAAATATTCTGTAGAAATTATTCTTGAATTTCTGCTTCTTAACATTTACCTGAATATCTGATAGGAAGGTTAAGGAAGTTCAGAGTTACAGATATTAAACAATCTACTCCTGCTGTGCCATGTAAAACAGCATGAAATTGAACTCTTTAGTATTCAGGGGCAGGTGAAGTTATTTTTTTCTCAATTTATGCAGTCCATATCACATGATATGGGTGATAAATTTGGGCAAGATCAGATAAAAATAGGGCCATGCATACTTGTAGGGGTGGAAATGTTTTATGAAGATAAATATTTTTCATAAGACTATAAGATCCTACAAGAAAGAGAGCACAAAGAAATTACATGCAGATACACACATATAATTTGAAAAGTTCTTACTAGGAAAAAGCTGCTCAGGGATGTTAACTTCCACAGAGGAGAGCCCTCCTTTAGAGAGTTCACTTTTTAACCCCCACCCACCCCAGCTCCTAGTGCTTGGGATCAAACTCCGGGTTTGCTGCACACTAGACACTAGACAAGAGCTGCCATGCCATAACTACAAGTTCAGCCAGTGCATTCAATGAACTCTGGAAAGTAAATCAATTACTTGCATAACCATAATTCATGAATGAGAAACCGAGGCACAAATGTGCTAGATGATTTATTAGTAGGATAAAGACAGAAACTAGGGAAAAAACTTTTTTCAGGCAATGCAAGATTCAATATTCTATACACAAGTCTCTGCAACATTCAGTTTCCCATCTAAAGAGAAACTACTGAGTACATAGGTAAAAAATGAGTAACCAAAGGCCTGAATCTGAACTAGTCATCTTCTGGGGTGCACAGCAGGACTCTGGTTGCACTAAATGCAGCAGACTGATGTCAGTGATGCCAGTGATCTTTTCCTGCCTCCGCTAAATCTGGGGTAAAGGCAGTGTCTTCTACCCTCTGCCAACTTTTTGGCCTGGATCAAATACTAGTACAAATGCAGAAAGATATTAATGAGGAAAAAATAATTTAAAAGGGAGATGGAGGGGCCAGGGATTTAGCTCAGTGGTTCGGTGGCCTGCCTTGCAAGCGCAAGGACCCGAGTTCAATCCCCGGTACCAAAAATAAAAAATAAAAGGGAGATGGGTGCAAGGGTAAAGATAAATGAGGAAAAAACTACCAAAGCAGCCATGTACGTATGATGTCATTTGAAGAAGAACTGCTCTAGTTAGTATAAATTAAGGATGCTCTTGCTTGAGAAAAACAAAAATAACATACCAGCTTTTGAATAAATTCTATGTTACTGCATTTCTAAAGCTTTGATGCCATGCTGAATGTTGAGTATAAGTCTCAGAAAAAATTAAAACTTGATCTATTTAGCAGCTGTATCACAAACTCTATACTGCACTTCATGCACTCAGATTATATGTCACCTATCTCCTGACAACTCTCTGGTTAAAGGTTTGAAAACAGGAAACAACCTAGGGAAAGCTAAATATAAAAAAAAAGTAATGCTTTGCCAGGCATGGTGGCACACACCTGTAATCCTAGCACTCAACCGGCTGAGGAAAGAGAAACACTGTGAGTTCAAACCTGAGTTATACAGGTAGACCCTAATTTTTAAAAATTAATGCTTTTAGAAAGAAGCATAGTCTACTTCAGGCTTTCAAGTGTTAACAATATGGAAATCTAATGATAAATTTTTGAAAATACCGAAGTTTAACACTAAGTAAGAAAAGGAAAACAGTCTTTTGGAAGTTAAAATTTTAAATTACATGCTAACAGAAATTTCTTCGGCCACCTTTTTTAAAAAATCATACAGTAATATTATAAGTAATAATTCCATCTCTCAGACTCACTTTATCTAGAAGCCCTGCTTTTCCACTTAGGAGTGAGGCTATAACAACCACTATTATATTTTCTGCAATTAATTTCATGAAATAATTTAAAGTGCAGAAGAGAATGCTATATTAAAAATCAATCAAAAGAAAAACAAACCAAAGACAGAAAAATAAACAATGGATTTTATTGTTATAACTTCTTTCTTGCCAAATTTAAAGGACCATCAACAAGAAAAAACACAGGCAAACATTTTAAAAAGGATATCCTTATTATTTTAAGAAATCAAGATGGGAAGATTAGGATTTAAATCACTTTAAACCTAATGGGTATTCAACATGCAGAACTAACTTCCTTGACTGCTACCATTAGTTGCTTGACTTCAAAATCAACAAACAGCAGAATGAAATTACATTAAAATAATCAGAGATAAGCTGGGCGAGATGGTGCATGCCTGTAATCCCAGCACTCGAGAGGCTAAGACAGGAGGATTGCTGTGAGTTTGAAACCAGCCTGGGCTACGTAGTGAGTTCCAGGTCAGTTTCAGCTACATTGTGAGACCCTGTCTCAAAAGACAAAACAAAACAAAAAATCAGAGATAGGATCAGGGATTTAGCTCAGTGGTTCCACCACCTGCCTTGCAAGGGCAAGGTCCTAAATTGGATACCTGGTACAAAAAAAATAATAATAATAATAATAATAATTCAGAGAGATATATAAAACAATCAGAGATATATTGTACCCATCACTTAACAACACACAACAAATGTTTAAAATGTGGTAAAATATTAAATATAAGTAGTTATTAACAGTAGCATCACAATTGGTGGTGTTTTCCTAGGAGAGTAATTTTTAATTAGTTTATGACCAACTTAACTTTAATGTTTAGGTTAACTGCTTATCAAAGATCTAAAAATGTTCCTGTCGTCTTTCAAAAACCACGGTATACCATTAAAGCTGATTTTACAGAAGAATATTTTATGATATAGAAACTCTTACTGTTTAGAAAAGAAAACAGCACATTTATATAGGTATGTATATATAAATTTACACATATGTGACAAACTGGTTAATTCATTCATTTCCTTATATCTGATTTTGGAGGACCCAAGATTAGACAATAGAGGAGATTTTACCTAGAGCTGAAGCGGGCAGGAGGAGGTGTCTGGGCTACAGTGGAAGTATGGCTCCAAACAGCAGCATAAATAGATGGACCCCATTCTTTACAGACATAAGAATTTCTTCTCACTCTTGATCTCCTATCTCACATCAAAATTATCTTGGTTCATAACACTTCAGTCTTTCCTTAAACACTATAATGTGTTATCATATTTTGCGTAAATTCTCAGGTTAACAGCCGTTTCCAGACCAGACTCCATGTCGGATGGGTGGGGTTCTGCACAGTGCACAGGGCATGTTCCATATGTACTCGCCGAGAGATGGTTAATGAGTATTGCCCATAATGTGAGACAGGACAAGACTGAAAATCTAATTATATTGGATTTGACATTATATTTGAATTCTTAAATGATGTGCCTAATTTCTATTTATGTACATTGCTGAAAAACTAAATTACCTGATCATTCCATGGGATCTTTGATTTATAAGACTTGAACTATTTTATTAGTAAATATCAGGATTCTGCCTTAAGAAATGAAAAACAGGTCATAAGTGTTCAGAAATTTTCTTGGCTCAACAAATGACATTCAGCTAAAAATTGCAATTTTCAGATTGTGAAGTCTGCATCCACTCTCCAAGAAACTGGTTAATTCAACCAAAATGTAGGATGGTCACTGCAGTAATGGACAAATAACAAGCTCTCCACAATGAGAATTCCTTCAGAACCCGAGGGGCAGAGGGACATTGATAACATCCAGAAAGTGGTTTGATGGGTTTAGGTCAATTTTACTTCACAGAAACCCATTAATCACTTTTAATGATATACAATTCCTCATACAGTATTCATATACACTTCTAATCTCTTTAAATACAAACTGGAGTGAGTCCAAAAAACAATCACAAACACAATTGTATCAGTCCTGTGTTTTTCCCAATGGTAAAGACCACTTTAAAACAATTCAATCCACGTGTACTTCTACTGGGAAAAGAAAAGTTCCATGTTTGTATTACTTATCCAGTAATCACAGTAAAGATTAATCACCTATAAGTGTAGAAGGAAATTACTACATGGTTGTATTTTCACTTATTTCCTCAGATGTACCTATTACAA